CTCGGTTGTAGTAGTAGTAGTCGCGGGTTGCATGGTCTTGTTGTAGTCTCCGGCAAACTCGTGCGACGTGGCCGGTGATTCCACAGTAGTAGCAGACTGGCCTCTGTCGATATCCCCAAGATGCGTTGTTAACATAAGTGGGGCGACTGCGCCAGGCGGGTAAAGAGCCCCCCGTGAAGGCAGGGGAGATGGCAGCCAGAGCAGCAGTGTCCGAGGTCATTTGAGGAATTCCCGAACGAAGAGTTTCATCGGAAGAACAGACTCTGTCCGTGATGGAAAAGGGAGTCGCTGTTGGTGGAACTACGGATGCAAGCTCCTGTTGGATAATACGTCGCAACCCGGTGTCGTCAGTCTCAGGCGTGGGGTTGCTTGTAGTTGGTCGGAGAAAACGGGCAAGCTCATCTCGTACAATTTTTTGTATTATCTGCTTCAGAGAGTCAGTGGATATAGATTGCAGTGCAATTGTTGGGCTGTCATGCAGAGCTCGGACTTGAAGGCGGGAATTCCGGGCCTCATCTAGCCGCTGACAGTGCGTAGTGATGTCCTTCACTGTCGTCGGGTTTTGCACGAGAAGGACATTAAATGCCTCTTCAGAGATGCCTTTCATAACATGGCGGACTCGGTCGGCCTCGGACATGTCTTTGTCATATCGGCGGCAAAGTGAAAGAACGTCTTCAATATAAGAAGTGTACGTCTCGCCAGATGTCTGGATCCTGGCTGCCAATTTACGCTCAGCTATAGCTTTACGATTGGTGGGTTTTCCGAAAATTTCCACCAGATGAGTTTTGAATTGGAGCCACGTCGCGATTTCATCTTCGTACAAAACTTGAAAGTATAAAACAGAGAGGACGAGGACGGGAACAGGACATCTTTCATCTAGCCGCTGACACAGAAGATGTCCTGTTCCCGTCCTCGTCCTCTCTGTTTTATACTTTCAAGTTTTGTATGAAAGATGTCCTGTTCCCGTCCTCGTCCTCTCTGTTTTATACTTTCAAGTTTTGTATGAAAGATGTCCTGTTCCCGTCCTCGTCCTCTCTGTTTTATACTTTCAAGTTTTGTATCTATTAACCAACACGCTCGTTTTCAACTGTTCATCTTCGTGGTTCGTGAACCATATTTTCGCCACATCGGAGAGATAAAAAATAGCGTTGCGCAGCTTTGCTTGGTCGTCCCACTTGTTGTAAAGGCTCACCCGCTCATAGACGTCCAGCCAGTCCTCTACGTCGTCCTCGCGGAGTCCCGCAAAGGTTTTGGGATGTCGCAACTGGCTGGGGGCAGGACTGACGGCAGCTGCAGAGGCACCGGAGGAGGATTGGCCAGTGCTGGTCATCGTTGCTGGTCGCCTTCTGGGACGAAGCTCCAGAGTGATTGGGATACCCCGCACCTCCACCAATAATGTGAGGGAGACAGACGCTTGGCGACTGGTTTCAATTATGTCTATATTCGAACTGACCCGCGCTGCCTCGAGCCGGCAGCGCGAGCTATCGGCGATGGTGATGATGATGACGATAATGAGGGTGATGGCTGCACGGGACGATGGATAGGTCACAATGTTATCAAAAAGTACCCCTATAACGTGTTTTTTCTTAATGTAGACATGTTTTGCAAACGAGGGAAGCGTTTTGACTGTTGTGGAATGGGAGTGTACTTAATAAGCAAACAGCATAACGTCGCCTCATTTAAATTTCAGGGTATCATCCCTCGCGATCGACTCTGAAAGATTGCCTCCGTGTCTCTCTGTCTCAGTGCAAATGCATCCTTTGTTGCACAGAGTGGGGCAACGTGCGAAGCACTGGCGCACTCAGGTCGTGCCTTGTGCGGTAAAATGGCGTCTAATCAATAACCAAGGCTCCGCGCTTGAGCTGAGTCACACCGGTTTGCGCGAACTCCAAACGACAGAAGAAAAAATGATTGGGTGGAAAAATGGTTGCGATGTCACCACTTAAGCAAAGGCGTGTGTTTGTGTAAAGGCAGGCTATATATTGAGCACTTCGCATGCTGACAGTGCGCTTGAATCCCAGGGTCTGCTCTATACACTTTTGGGAAAAAAGGGTATATTCTTACAACCCTTGTCCCATATACGACACCCCAAAACTTCAGGTGGACGTACAGCGCGCTGACGCCGAACCGACGGTACCAAATTTTACGAGCGGCTTGAGCACGGTGATATGGACCTCATCAAACAGCTAAAGTACGCAGCAAAGACTACAGAAAAAAAAACTGAGGTTTTGCAGTAGTGCCTTAAAAACCCCGATTACTTTTTCTTTATTCACTAACACTTGCATTCGCTATTTTAATAAGTTGTACCACTCGGCTATCAAACCGCTCGGAAAAGTTGGTACCATCGGTTCGGCGTCAACGCGCTGTACATCGAACTGAAAATTTTGGCGTGTCTTATATTGAACAAGGAGTGTAAGAATACACCCTTTTTTGCTGAGAGGGTACACACTCCAACGTTTACCGTTTCACAGCCCAGTGCGAGACCTCAAAAGTCCAGAGCATACAATCAAAATTCTCACTTTACAAAAAAAAAAAAAACAAAAAAAAAAAAAACACGTGCCATACGCAAAAAAAAAAAGAAACAAAATTGAAAAGGACACTGGCTAGAAGCCCTTTTTTGGAACATAAAATCAGGAATATCCACCGCCGCTTCAAATGACCAGGTTTAACTGTCACGTTCGGCTTGGCGCATGCAAATGCTCGCTGCAATCGCTGAACGGTTCACTCCCCGCTTAACAGACGCCCGTCATACGCCTCGACAACTATGTCGCCATCTGGAGGCGCTCATGAGAAACTGGGACGAAGGATGGACATTTCCTTTACTCCGCTTGAGCCTTCTCACACCGTGTTGCTGAGCATTTTGTTATCGCTTCGCAGTCAGTGAACTTGCGGCATTCGCTGAGAAGAAAACCAAAGAAGGGCGCAAGAAGCGCGAGCATAATAAGCCCCTTATTTGTTAAGTTTGTAACATTCCAAAAAAAAGTCAAAACTCATCTATCGCCATCATAATCCCCGACGTTATTCTTTATCTTTTATTAAGCTCAGCAAGCTGAAGTAGCCTTCTATTCAAAAAAAAAAAAAAATACTCCAGGAGAGTACCAGACCCACGCTTGAAATGAAATAGCCTGGCTTGGTCCCACCTTTCCACAGCATTTTCTTGGAACGTTGTCAAGAAGTTGGATTTTCATTCGTTCCAAGGCTCGTCAGTGTGGTTAACAAAGCGTAACTCGCACCATTGCTTGGCTACTCCTCCAAGAAAGAGGCGCATGTTTTGTATGCGGTCTCGTTCTGAAGTCCAGGAATTTTCCTCGCAGGCGTACTCAGAGAAAGCAATCTAACCTTCTGAACTCTTTGATTGCCCGTCGAAGATGTCTGGCTTTGCCACCTCGTATCTGGGCCTTTTATTTTCCACGCTGAGCGTCGACATCAAGCTTTGAATAATGATGTTTTGTTGTGACATTTGCTGCTGTTGAGCATGAATCGCTTGGAGCACTGCGGCCACATCAGAAGCCGGAAACGCTCGTTGGACCGTAGGTACCGGAGCCGCCACTCGCTGCAGCACAAGCTTGTGAAAGACAGTCATCTGTATGTTAATCTTGAGGGACCCCTTTTCCATCAACTCCTCCGAAGAAATGGTACCTTTCTGGAGCATGAGTTCGATGAGCTCCGGAGATGTAACATGCCCTGGCAGCTCCACGTCTGGTTCATCTTGAACTTGATATCGGTTAAAAACCACTCGGTCTAGGTTCCGAGCAACAGAAAATCGTGCCCACATGTTCTGAATCCTGTCGAATGCGCCAAATTATGTAACGTCCCGAAGAAATGTCAAAACGCATCTATTGCCATCTTAATCCCCGACGTTCTTCATTTTCTTTTTTCGTCCCCCCTACAGATTTCACGCTGCTTCGTCTTCTTTTTCTTTTGGTCTTCTTCAAGGATGTTAGTGAATACAAGATTCACATACTATGTTTGCCGTAACAAGTCATGTGCTGTGTCATCAAAGGCAGAGTCGCTGAAGCTCAGCTGTGCAAGCTACTTCGTTTAGATAAAGCATTCACGAAGTAGAAAATGTTGTTAAGGCAAAGCTATCCAGCAAGCGCGTCTTAACCTCTCGACGGAAGTCTTGAGTTAGAGCTTTTGTTTAGAGGGTACGGTCAGGTAACAATGTAGTAAAAGGGAGGTTAGACGCAAACTCTTCATCCGAGTTTGGTAACTCGAGGCAACATAATATATGAGCGAACGTGTGTTCAAGTGATCTCTTTGTCAGATTTTGCGCAGCAGAAGTTTGCGCGACTCAGATTACGTGGGCCGTTTTCAGACTTCTGTCAAAACGTTAACAGCCATTCAGAAATGCTGGTGTTGTTTGTACGCATATGTATTTTTTTTTTGTTGCCTTGTATGATGTCTGAGTGCTATCACGATATTCTGTTGCTGTAAGTTTCTGCATGCGCGGATTCTTTTTTTGTTTTTGTTTTGTTTTTTTGCTTTTTTGTATAGGCCGCTGGATTTTGCCGTCCTTACCGGTTGCTAGCACCTCGTCAGGCAACCTGTTTGCCTTTTGTGCCAGCGGACCGTTCAAGTCGAATTTGTATTTGACTTGAAAAAATAAAATGATTGATTGATTGATTGATTGAGCACAGCCTGCAGGGCCGCGCTTTTTTGAAGCATTTTTGACATGAAACACTTTTACGAACAGTCGTTTTCTTATATAGTTTCTAATAATTGTGAATATCATATCTAGTAAAAGAAACACGGCAGTCATATTTACAAGACCGCATATGTACGAGAAGTGTGATCGGAAGTAATACTATGTGAGAAGCGGTTTCATAAAATTACACTCCCCCCTATAAGATTTGGCGATTCTCATGGCATCATTTCGTTCCCGTCTTTTCAGCCAAATCGTATCAATCGCAGTTAAATCCACTAAGTGGTTGGTGTCCAGTGCGGATAAAGTTCATCCGAATCAATAAGCGTGGAACTTCCTCCTTTTCTTTCCTTAGACATGCATAGGTCACGGTTGGAGCAATGTAAAGACTCATCCATCTGCAATGGCATCCTTCCGGCACAAGATTAAATTTTGGCAGTCTTTCGATACAGACGTGACCGTTGTGAAAAAGGTAATCACCTTAATCTTACTTAATAATTTCAAATACATGGACTTGAACATATCGACGAAGTTATGCTATTGTCACTGACAAGGTGAAAACGTAGGGAAAGAGCTTCAGTAGACCCGATTCAAAAGCCCACCAAGCAACATTGGTAGTCGCCACTGTTTGGACACGAAGCGCGTCATTGAATCCGAGCCTTCTTCGCGGTCACCGCACATGTGTGCCGCTCGCTCTTTCGTTACTTTTCAGCGCACTGCACTGGGTCTCTTTTGTGACGCTGTCGAAATAGGTTGCATTATGCCTAATGAATTAAAAAATTCGTAAGTTTTGGAATAAACAAATAAAGTATGAAACGCTGTTCCTCTGATAATTTTTCGGCAAAGTCAGGAGGTTCTTGCGTGTGACTTATTTAGGATATTGTGATCACCTTGACATAAGCAGATACCTCAAAATCAGCTTTTTTGATTGACTACAAATTTAACATTATAGCTATAAAATAAATCCCTACATGCGTTTGAATGAAGGAACGATTTGAACATTTTGCAAATTCAGAAGCAATTTTTTTAAAATACGTATTTTTTATACAATTCATTTTTTTTATAATAGTCCATTGCAACTGAAGCAGGTAGGGCGAGGGTAAGACGGGCCGAGGACGAGGAAGACGACGGAACGCTGGAGAAGAAAGGGGGAAACTTCCTTCTACCTTTAGCGTTCCGTCTGATTCCTCCTCCCCGGCCCGTCTTACCCACGCTCTACCTTCTTGAGTTGCTATGAACTGTGGTAGCATGGTATTTTCTTTTCCCTGCAAGGGCGCATATAGTGAAATTTATATCAGTCGCTGTTGGCTGTACCAGCCGAAGTAGTGTCCAGCACAAGGGAATAGCACAAGAGTTAATAGCACAAGGGAACAGCACAAGGGGTTGATGGAAAAATGTAAATTTTGATCTAACGTTTGTGGACATAATATATTGTTGAACACTTCCAACATTATTTCTCTGTGCCTGCTTTTAAAGTGGCGCACATCATTTGAAACACAATAAACGTTTTTTTTTAGTTTAATGCAAAAGTGAGGTAGAGAACGAGAATATCGATGCTGCCCTCCGGCAAAAAATAAACTACATAGAAAGGGATGCCGCGAAAAAATATATCGATTACCCCGTTTATATTTTACGCCGTAGCCCAACGAAACATGCGCCTGACACCTCACTGCTCTTGGCTGCTATAAATGAATATATGTGTAAATTAAGGAATTTTATTATGTATCACAAAAAAGTGTAACTACGTGGGAATGGGGTATTAGCATAAACTGCACACATTATAGAAAGTACATAACTTTTTTTGTTACTTCATCATACGCGGTAATTTGCGAGTAGAAAATGAGCCTTTAGTTATATCGATATGTCAAGGTGTACAAATAATGTGATTATTGGCACAATATTTAAAATGCGTCTTGCGATGCCCTCCTGTTCCAGGTAGACCTGATGCTTGACCAAGCCAACAAGACGTGCTTGGCGGCGTACTACGTCGACTATGAAGACTACTACGGCATGTGTCAGAGCAAGGTGCCCTTTCCGCGGTTGAAGGCGATTCGAGAACTGCTCAACAAACGAACAAACCTAGACGAGGACATTGATCTCTTTGGCCACGAGTTTTGAGTCTCCTCGCCACACCGCGAACTCAGTAGTGTGCTCCCGCCGCAGTGTTTGAGGTTTCATCGTGTCAAGCTCTACACCGGTCACCCTGTTCTTTTATCATTTTAGAGGGATGGGAGTAAAATAAATGAAAAAGTGCATTTTCTGACCGCAAACGTCGCTGCTCATCCAGCACATGGCAGAAAACAAGGTCATGGGGCTGGAAATTCTACGTCAGCTCCAACCAGGTTGCGGAAGCTACCATCCGTTGTATAGGGTACAGCCGCTAGCATACATCCAGAAAAGGTCGGTGCTGGGCTCTGATTGGACAAGAGTGCAGCGTCAGCATTCGGTTGAATCTCGTGCACGCAATGATTGAACACGAGCTGCAGCCGATCGCTGACACAGCCTTCGAGTCCAGTTCGGGCCTCGCACCGGCCTCCGTGAGGTGACGTAGAAAATACGGCACTATGGCCTTGTCACGACAAGGTGTTGCCTTATCGCGGAGCAGGTTGGGGAGCTGTTCGTTGCCTCCGGGTTGCTAGGTGAGTCCCGATAAGGCAGATAATTTTGAGTTGTCGGTGCTCGGTGAGCATACCTTTACCGGCATTCGTCGTCTTGTTGAGAGTTTGGGCGCACCCGTTTCTATGTAGTTCGCGGCCGCTTTGCATCGCACTAGGTCAGAGATTCCTGCTGTGGTTTGGAGTACGGCAGTAGTCTCGCCTGGATACTCTGAGGGGACAAAACTTTTCAAGAGGCTTTTGTTGTGTTCTGCTACACAACGTAAAAAGAGGTATGTGTTGTTTTCGCTGATCTCGGTAACCGTTACGAACGAATATATGACGAAGCCCAGCTATTTATAATCTATAGGAAACACCTTGTGCCGCACGATATTCTCTGCTAATCGTGAATCGTGTTGTGTCACCGTAACAATTTCCTTCTAACGTAAATATAAATTAGTTCAAACATTCCAGCAGTTCCCGGCAGTCGTTGTATGTGAATAAAATGTTACTATGAATTGAACTGAAGTGGGAAGTTTTGGATATTTCCAGTAATTTTGAATAAAAACAACACAAAACGACAAGAACGTCATGAAGGAAACTACCTAAGTTGTCTGAACCGAGTGCGCGGCTGTCTTTTTAGTGCTGTTTTTTGTTAATATTTAAGGTCGTTGTGAGGAAGTCTTCACAGGAAGACCTGTAAACACCAATGCAATAATAAGGCACCACTTTGAGAAAAGTGCTTGTATGAGCTTCGTTTTATAAACTATGGTAAACATGAAGGCAAGAGAGTCATATCACTTTGCCATGTAGAAAAGCACGCGGGCGAATCGGTCGCAGCATTCTGTAAGGTAGTGTTAACGGAAGGTTTTATCTGCGTCCTTTCTGATTCATACTTATCACGTACGTCATGACTAAGATGTGTTCAATGCCTCGGACCCCGGCCGCAAACCCTCAGTAAAAAAAACTGTAAGCTAAGACCCCTTCATGAAAAAAAAATGGAAATCTGCCGTTCAGAGCTACCACTCAATTCCATCAATAAAAAAAAAAAGGAAAAAACAAAAACGATGTAACAGTGATATCTGGTATCCCGAAAAAGTCAACGCACTCTGTCGAGCATCAATTAATGTTCACACAAGCATTTTACTCCCTTGATTTTGTGAGCGCCACACACGAGCATATTCGGGTGCGGTCCCGTGTAGTTTTAGTTTCGCTTTCTTCCCGGCGGCTCCTAAATCGGATGATCTTTTTTTCTTTTTTTCATGTGTAGAGCAACGCGTGAGCAAGCGATCAAAAACAATGTTTTATATTATGGCTTCACTTTTGGATACGAAATAAAAATGTTTGTTTTGGCGACTTTTGCCTCAGTATGCTCTTTGTGGTTAAAAATGCGAATATATGTAGTTAATTGAAGACAACATTTATTAAGCAGGTGAGCTGGTTGTGAATCGACATACTAAAACCCGAGACGGAGGCAGAAAAGTTGAAAACAACGTTTTGTACGCAGTTCAGCCTCGCTCTTCATGGTGAACATTGAGATCTAAAATTACTTCGAATCTCTGCGAAAGTCGCACTTTTGAATAAAAAAAAAAGAATAAGGCCACTAAAAATAGTGATCTTGACATGCAACTGCATAGCACCATCTCTCGGGTGAAATACAAAAAAAACTGTTATAGTTGGGAGGCATACAGATGTTTTGGCCGATAAATCTATATGTCTGATAAAGAAATATTCTTCACAAAGCATTCTACGGTTTTATGAGGCCAAACTGTTTTAGGCATGCGAGAAAAACTCGGCACACAAATGGTTAAAAGGGCGGAGCACTTTTGCTGTCCTCAGCAGATTTTAAAATATCAGCAGACCTTAGATTGTCACTGCATTCTTTTAAACCAAGATGTTAACAGTTATTCCTAGAGGTCACACTTTAGGGTCTTGGACATAGTACTAACAAGCTGGGACAGCCAGCTAATACCCTAAAAGGTAGAAATTGCCAAGAGCATAAGGTCTGATAACATCGAGGACTAGGACATTAAGGGTGTTAGCCCAGCATGCTAGTAGATTTCAGGCAGTCAGCACTGGTTGTACTCCATGAAACGCCTTTTTGATATCTTTGAAGGTGTAGTATTCTTAGTCTATATATGCGCTCCCCTTTATTTCGCTCACTTGTTACATATATGGAAAATGAGATTACTATTGACTTAGTATCGCTAGGTGCCGATCGGTTCTGTTGGAAAATGAGTTTAACATGGCCAATAAACAACGTGTTTTATAAGTTTTTAGTAAAATCGGAGGGTTTTTTCTCAAGTATTTTTTGGGGCAATTTACGCGTTTATTTGTTCTAAAGTCTATCAACTTCGTCGTTCTCAAATAATTGCATTTTACGGGAGTGTGCTTTTGTTCCTATGTAATTATGTTCTGTCCTAATGTATAAAGAATGAATCAAAATCACTCATAAATTATGGCAATCGGGTTATTATGGACGCATCATATGCCATTTTAATTATGAGACATAGAGTACTCTCTTATTTATTTACTTGACCCTCAGAACACAGACATTAGACAGGACAGAAGAAAACAAAAATCAAGAAAAGGCGTACATATACAGTAATCAAACAATAAAAAACTGAATTTTAGCAATAGTAGTACACAATAGAGTATAGTCAGTAATAGATGTGAGCGATAGAGGTTCGCGACTTCTCTCACTGGACGCTGTAGAAAAATCAAATCAAAGTTTTATTCAGACAGCCGGGTAATAGACATGCCTGGCGGGACGACTGCCCCCCTCCCCCGGCCCCTTCCCCAGTTTCACCATTCAGAGAGCTGAGACAAAAATAATGTTCGTCAGAGAAAGGAAACTGACATTACCGGGACAAACCCATGAACCGATGAACCAACATATATACATCCCTTTAAACCTGCACAAACACGGCACAGAAATTGGCACCAGGCAACAGATTTTCACAAAAAATTACACCAGGTCACTGAAAATCAACCATTAAACCATACAAAAAAAATTCACACTCTACAAAATACGCGGCACAAAAAAAAGAAAAAAGCCATTAGTGCAAGAAAAAGAAAAAGACCTGTAACTTCTGAAGCGACACAAATACGCATTCATGTGTTTCTTTATAACATAATTACGCAGATACCTCCCTCAATAATGGAGATCAGAGTTGGTATTCAGAAGGCCGGGAGCTCATAACGTGCTAGAAAGAAAATAGACACACCAGCTTTATGACGATGATCAAAGGATGCTGGGATTATGACCTGATCTTTGAGTTAAAGATTTTTGTGTTCGTACAACAATGTCCACCGCGGAAGACATACGCTACAATGGGCAACACTTGGAAGCAGCAGTGTATTTTTTGTATGTTGCACCTACAGTGAGGTTAAAATTCGCTAGTTTAAAGCACTCAAATCTGTTGTAAACATTTTCTAGCGAGGCAATGCGGAAATTTGTATATAAATCCTAGATAGAGTCTGCGTACTTCAGTTTAGACTGCACTGGTGACTTATACTCTCGTTGCACGGGCACACTTAACTGCAGTTAAGTAAGCCACAGTTGCAACACTACTCTTGCAGATGACATTCTGCGGCTATGCACTCAAAGCTATGCGCCCACGTGCGCTTCAACAGCTTGAGCACCCATCAAAGCAGTGCACGCGCACTCTTTGCTCCTTTTGAAATAGATATCTAAAAATAGTGCCGTAACTGTGGCGACGTGTAACAGCAGTTAAAGTGAGTTAAGTGCGGTTTAGGGCGCCCGTGTAAAACCGTTATTAAAACCTGGGCTCCTTCGTCCGGTATCTCTCAGAGATCTAACTTGGGATCACTTTTGTGTATTTTATTAATGATATTGAAATGTTCGTAATAAATTTTAAGTTATTCGCTCATAATTTGAACCTGTCTTTACAGGTTGCGTCACTCGCTGATAGTGCATATTTACAGGATCTGTCACGTGTGCATGAGTGGTGTTTATTCAATCATTGAACGATCAATCTTAATAAAACCAAGGTTTTATCAACGTATAGAACATGGCAACCGATTTTTTAACGACCACGTTCTCGGCACCACTTCTGTTTTACGCGTCACCACAGTTCGTGAACTCGGTGTTTATTTTGATAGCCAGCTTTCTTTTTTCGTTTCATGTATCCTAAATTGTTAGCTCAGCTTTAAATTGTTGGGCGTAACTTATCGCTTGACGCAGGTGTTTACAAATCATTTGTGTATTATTCGCCTTTTTGTACCCTCATTCGTTCCAGGATTGAGTTCGCCAGTGTTGTTTCGAACTATCTTATATTATCCGAATTAGAAAAAAAAAACATGTTCTGAAGACGCTCTTTTGTATAATTTTTAATTGGCATTTCTGTAGAGAGTTTTTTTTTATGATTATGCCTTCATTCTTAGAAATCTGGACTTACTCTTGAAAAAAGCCCGTGCGTCTACTTTCACGCACAACTCTCGGAGAGCCAATCACCGCAACTTACGGAGGCAGCTCAGCGAATGACGATGCGGAAACATAAGATTAGACGGAAAGCGCAGTCTGAGTTGTGATATTAAGCAATGCAAGCGTGACGTTTTGCATTGCTTAATGTCAAGACTCAAACTGCGTTTCTTGGACTAAACATATCTTTCGACATCTTCATTCGCTGAGCTGCCTCCGTATGTTGCGGTGATTGGCTCTGCGAGTCTTGTGTGGGAAAGTATATGCACGTTTTTTTTTTTTAGAGTGTAGAAACTTTATCAAGCAGAAGAGTCGTGCGAGACGTAATATTTTTTAATAGAATGATTCATGGTCGACTTCATTATGCTGTGTTATGTTCCGTGAATGTCCACGCACCTATTCGTCTCAGTAGGCATGCCTGTCCATTATTTCATCATTTTTATCAGGAGAAGCTATGTTCCATTACCCGCATTCAAATTACTTTTAATGACATGCCCACCAAGTTTGTGGATAGTTTTCTGAATGACGAACATCTTAAGCGTGAAGCTGAGTCAAATTTGAACACATAGCTACCACATCGTTCTGAATCATTTTTTACGATTGTATGTGTGGACATATGCATGTTGTTATGAATGTATAACTGTTTGTGAGCACGCTATATTTTTTATTTAAGCGTCTCATACAGCAAAGACTTCGGTCGTTTTGAAGCAAGAAGAAAGAAATAAATAAATTAATAATATAATGGTTTTAACAATGAAGGCGCTAGATCGAAATTATAGACTACTTCCGAAAATACCTGCATGCAACACTGTACGCGTTGCATTATGGCAGCTCTTTGTCTATGAAGAG